ACACACACACATTTACACACACACATTTACACACATACACACACACACGCACACTCCTAAATGTCAGCCAGCAGACGTCCAGCATCAACAACTGCCTTTCAGAAGAGGAGGGAAGTTATTCTGGAGGACGTTCGGATTAGCCAGCTCTCTGCACCACACACATGGTGCACACACACCGTGAGAGGGTGTGTTGTGTGTTTGAGCGAGGGTGAGAATGAGAGAGGCAGACACAGAGAGACTCCTGGGATTTTCGATCACATTGACTTCGTTTCCAAAGCTCCGTGTCTGCAGAGTTTGTGTGCAGCCCGGCTCAGACTCACTGCCTCCAGCTTTCTGGGATCCGAGACAGCTGGGCTGGGAAACACAGGGACTTTGGCTCAAGCTTGGAACTGCACACACACGCACACAAACACACACACACACCGAGAACAAGTCTTAAAGTTGGCAGCGCGATGGTGAGAGAGACGACAGAGCTGGACAGATGGGATGGATCATTCCTCTGTGTTTGTCAGCTCAATTTATCACTTCCCTGGACCTCTCTGGTGGCAAGAAAGCTATACTGCATACATTCAAACGCACACGCTGTAACCCTCCCCTTAGACCTCGTTAGCGGGCAAACAGGGTCCCCACAAGGACACAAACACTCATGCTGTACACCAGTGTGCTTTTCGCAGGTCTTTCTCTTCATTTTGTTGTCGACATTCTGTAAAAACTTCATTTAATGTGGAATATGAAAAAAGAGTGTATATTTCACAAATGTAAGTGTAAAATTGTGCGAGTGTGTGTGTGTGTGTGTTTGTGCATGAGTGTCGGTGGCTGAATGTGGATGTACAGACATGTGGAAGCAAACAAAGGAAGAAGGACTCAGCTGCAGGACACACAGCGATGTGTGTGTACTCTCAACCAAACAAATTTAAAATTTCAGACTCTTAAATTTGGGAGTTTTAGGTTTTTTCCTCCTCTTGTCTTGATTGGTTGTATGTGTATTGCTAACAAAGCTACAGCTGTTATCATGGTATTAGACCACCAAGCCCCTGTCAGTTTAACACAGTCTCAGTTTAAATGGGTGCTGCTGGTGCTGCAGTTACAGCAGGGCAGACAGTGGTGGTGGACACAGACCCACCAAAGTTGTAGAGACCAGCGCGCTGTGAATGCTGTGACCGCTCACAATCAGATCCAACTTTGGAGTAACTTTGGAGCACCAACACAGCAATACAGCCTGCAGTCCTTCTGTGACTGAACAGGTCAGGTTGGCAATTAAATGCAAGCTGTTCCTAATAATACGGCAAAAAAACATGTTGGTGTCTTCAGTCACACAGTCCAGCCTGAACCTCAGCGGCCTGAAACAAAAATTCCTCAATAAAGAGTGACGTCATTTCTGCACAACACTGATAAATCTGCAGAACTGGTTTTTCTATAAGAATAGAACCAGAGACCTGCCCATCGACTCATGTCTGCTATGCAAAGACGAGCCACTCTGTTCAGCACAGACGGACTCAGGTTAGAAAGGACAGTGAGAGTGACTGCAGTCTGGGGCAAAGCACAGTTGTTGGGTGTCCCACCAGAGTTGTCGTCAGTGCTCGCCGCTTCACTGCATTTTTTCCAACTCAAACCAACGGGTTTTTGGATCCCGTTGGTTTGGGTTAGGGGAACAGATAAAAGTCTGTCCTTTGTGATGAAAGTCGGACCTATATTAGCTCATTAGAAGATTTGGAGATTTGAGTTGTACTTCTTCACACACGCAGTGGGCGGTTAAAATAGGTGATTAATAGCAGAATGGGCAGGCAAAATTTTTACTCCCTGCTTACTCCCAGAGTCTCTGTTTTATAGCTACTGAGCTTCCTCACACAGTTTCTGGATGATCACCAGCTATGCTCGCACTATCAGAAAAAGTGACTCCCACCACCCGTTACAGATGCAGAGTTTCAGGCAGCTGGGTGGCAGCTGACACCTGACATATATTCACAGCAGCTTTATGTCTGCGGAGTTTCTGGTTTCAAATGTACAAGATGCACCAAAGACTCAACTATATTCATACCTGTATGAAACCATCCTCTGTCCTGGCAGCTCTTGGGGCTGTTGACAAAGACTCTTCAATTCAGAGCATAAAAGTTGTTTGTGTTCTTACGCTGCTTCTTATCATCAGCGGTTCAAACACGATCATATGAAGTGGTACCTGCTTCAGAGCCACCGTGTTTCTAAGTAGACCACATTTCTTTTGGATCTATGTTTAGCTTCCAGACGTCGAGTGCACTTCTTTGGCACCATGTTAGCAGGCGATGCTATCGGGCTGTCGTCACTTCCTCTGGTAGCAGCTTCAGTCATTTAGAATGGAGAAAAGCTGAACTTATAACTAGCTCACCTCGAGGAGCTGTTGCCTCTATTGTCCCTACAAGTTGGTCGATTTCATTTCGCTGTAGGTTTTAGGCTTTCTCTTTTTAGCCTAAAAGCACAAAAAAAATGTAAAACTGCTTCAACTATCTAAGAGCAGTCGCCTCAGGGGTGTTTATACGACCCTGTATATCTATATATGTAAGACCCTGCAATTAGACAGAAGCTCTCGGCAACAGTGGGGAAGAAAAACTCCCTTCTGAGAAAATGAAAGTTCCAAGAGAACAAGGTGACTGAAAGCATCAATAATTCAAGGAAAGGATTTGTCACTAGTGTTAGCATGTTAAAGGGCAGGGTCACTGTTTCCAGCAGACTGGCTCAGGTTCTTCAGCAGTCAGCCCAAAAAAACACGTGTACAGCCAGATACACAAACTGTTTGGTCTCTATAGATAATTTCCCCTTCATAATCACTCTTTATGATTCACCTGTTTAAATTGTATTAAAGTTTACATTATTAGGGGCGTGGCCTCTGACTGACAGGTGGATGGCACACAGCTGTTTGTAACATTTGGATCACTTCCTCCTGCGTTTGCTTCCCTAAATGTGTTTAATATGTGAGTGTGTGTGGGGTTCTCAGTGTGTACAGTACCTCTGGCCACTCTGTGGGGTATTTTTTATGTTTCATAGAAGCTACCAGGATGTGGAACATGAACTGTTGTGCTGCAAGGTTGTCACCAGTCAAAGCTCGAGGTAGTCGTCACTTTGTGCCATCTGTGGGCTGGAAGACCTGAGATCAGTTCCAGAGGCGCTGGTGCGTCCTTACTTTAGTGTGATTATTACTGTCGTCCCTGCTAGCGGTCAGGAAAACGTATTACCGTATCCGTGAAGGGTCATTACACAATTGTCCAAATCAGTGAGATTGCTATTAAATTTGTTGTAAACATTGTGATATTTCCCCTCGGGCTTTCAGCAGTATCATTATTAGGACAGATTTGTTTTTGTGTCTGAAATTGGACGATGAATTCATATATTTCTAATCACCTCGGCCTTCCTCTTGTCCCGTAATCATGTTGCTTTTTTCATCTACTTTTATTCCAGGAGCATTTTTCACTGGAGTTTCTCACCGGCATCATCCAGACACCTTTTTTCGCTTAAGATGTGAATTAAAATGTGATTTTCATTCAACTCAGTGTTAACGTAACGCTGGCTGTTCATGATGCCCTGCACATCGGGATCCTGAGTGTTTCATTAGCAGTGTGAACATTCATGGTCCCCAGAGGGGACCCTCCACTGCCTTAGTGCTGCTGAAGCTTCAGGTTTTATTTCAGAATTAAAGTGCTAGTGTCGAGATAGTGCAGAACTTTATAAATAACAAAATATTAAAATCGATTTCCATAACTTTACAGTAACTTTTCATGATCCCCAGAAGATGATCTCTGGCAGGCTTGATGGTCCCCTGTTTTACAAGCACCATCAACATGAAAACATTCGATTTCAGCAGCACACAAATCACAAAATTATCTGTTTAATGGTAGAAGAATTCAAATTTTGGGAGAAAAATATTTGAAATGAATGGCAGAAATGTCACAATGCAATATTTACAGTAACTTCTGTTTTTGTTGGCAGGCAAGTTTATCTTTCACATTTGTACTTAATTTCCCTCCTGTATAAATGTGGTTATCTCCAAGGAATAGGATGGTATCGTCAGCAAAAACTAAATTAAACTAAATTTAAATTTTTAAATTTAAGTCCAACAATCAATCCCTGTGGAACACCATGATATCTGATTCATAACAATTCATTCATTACTAATTGTATTTGAAAACAAAGAACTGTTTGTTCAGGATGGATGTCTGATTTTACATTGGTGTTGAAGATGACTGAACAGGGCTTTGTGCTGGTACGACCGTGTGTTGGGAAAGAGTAAAATGAGGACAAAGGTGACGGTGAGGAAAGTTGTAAATTTGCTGATCTATTTGTAAACTTTAACAGCGCTCAGCAGTGTAATGAAATATGTGTCTGGAAATAAAAGTAACATCTGTAACAACAGCTGTCCACAAACATTTCTTCTTCAAGTTCTTCATCCTCCTGAAGCCTCTCTGAATGATGACCTCCGCCTGAGTACCTGACACAGTCTACACTTGTCTTTGTGGGTGCTGAGTTAAGGCCACAAACATGTCACACAGGTGTTCAGTAAAGTGCTGCCCCTAGCCTGATGAAATCCCTCTGTGTGTTCTTACAGTTTGGTGAAGGTTTCCTCAGCATCAAACTAAACTACATGTGTGCAGCCGAGAGGGAACTATGGTGGCTGGAGGCTGAAATCAGAGTGAAGCCATGCTGTTGGCTCCAAACACATCTCTTCAGGCTTCTGTTGACTCATTCAAAAACAACTCTCTCTTCAGAAACAGTCAGCATGGCTTTAATCTACACATTTAGGCTTTGTGTCCCATATGAAAAAGAAACAGAAAAAACTTATAAAAGTCTTGCATCAGATGTGGCCTACTTCATATAGTAAATCATATTAGGCTTATATGATTTACTCATGAAAGTGGCCACTTTCATATATTGTTTTAGTAAAAATCCAAAACATATAAGTTTCATTTATATAATTTTTCAAGGGATCTTATATATATTTTCACTCTT